ATTGACAGGTCACCAATTGTACGTTGTATTGACAGGTCACCAATTGTACATTGTATTGACAGGTCACCAATTGTATGTTGTATTGACAGGTCACCAATTGTATGTTGTATTGACAGGTCACCAATTGTACATTGTATTGACAGGTCACCAATTGTACGTTGTATTGACAGGTCACCAATTGTACATTGTATTGACAGGTCACCAATTATACATCATGTACATCGTATTGACAGGTCACCAATTGTACATTATATTGACAGGTCACCAATTGTACGTTGTATTGACAGGTCACCAATTGTACATTGTATTGACAGGTCACCAATTGTACATTGTATTGACAGGTCACCAATTGTATGTTGTATTGACTGGTCACCAATTGTATGTTGTATTGACAGGTCACCAATTGTACATTGTATTGACAGGTCAGTGCACTCAGTGGTTCACCTGTTAAAGACTCTGGAATCTATTGATACAGCCCTGTTCTGTCTGACAGTCTAACCTGTTCAGAGCCTAGCTGTGTATATGGTGCATTAGGCTCAGTTAAGCATTTTTCTCTTACAAATGTTTGTTTGCTTTGACTAAAAGGGCAGACTGAATGCTGTGATGTTGTAAAATCACATAGGTGCAAGTATTTGAGTTATTTTATCTTTTTCTTTGGCAGTTTTCGAATGTCACTCCTTAGTACCCCTGCATTACTCATGGTTGCCGTGACACCTAGAGGTGGGGGTGGCACGCTCGTGACGCGGTATGATGCAACGGCAGTCCCTGTCACTCCCTCGTCAGATGCTTATTACACGCTTCTTCTTGTAACTCAATGTGAAGGTTCTTTTGACTGTAGGTTTTACTTGGTCTTAAAGGACAGTGGGGTAACCTTGTTGTTAAAGCGTTCGCTTGTCATGCCAAAGACCTGGGTTTGATTCCCCACATGGTATAATGTGTGAAGCCCATTTCTGGTGTCCCCTGTGGGATTGCTGGAACATTCCTTAAACTAGTAAAAGTGGCATAAAACTATACTCACTCACTCACTTGGTCTAAAAGGACAGTGGGGTAGCCTAGTGGTTAAAGCGTTCGCTTGTCATGCCAAAGACCCGGGTCCGATTCCCCACCTGGTACAATGTGTGAAGCCCATTTCTGGTGTCCCCTGCCGTGATATTGCTGGAACATTGCTAAAAGCGGCGTAAGACTATACTCACTCACTCACTCACTCATTCACTTGGTCTAAAAGGACTCCAGATATGATTTAGTCCGTTGAGTATTTACTCACAGTATCATTCATATAGGGTACTAACCTGTGAAGATCTGGGTTAGAATAGGTCTTCAGCAACCTTGCTTGCCGTAGAACGCGACTATGCTTTACGTAAGAGGCAACTAACGGGATCGGGTGGTCAGACTCACTGACTTGGTTGATGCATGTCATCCTATCCCAATTGGGTGGATCAATGCTCATGATGTCAATCACTGGACTGTCTGGTCCAGACTGGATTATTTACAGACCGAAGTCCTATAGCTGGAATATTGCTGAGAGCAGCGTTAAACAAACAACATCAACAACAACATATAGGGTATTTGATAGTTTTCTTTGGGTATTTAATATATTTTTGCTTCCTTGGAACCAATTTATTATTAAACCAATGAGGAGACATTATTCAAATAATTCTGCCTAAAATGCTGTTTCAGGTGACTTCTAATTTTCTTATGTTCATGTGATGCCCCAAGTGTGTCACCTGTCACATAACTTATACATGACGATACATGAGTTGTAATTAGCAAGACATAGCCCTTTTGTGCAGTATTCACTGTAGTAGAGTTTATGTATAGGCGTGACCTGCATTCGATCAGTAAGATGTGAAAAAATAATCAGGTACTCCAGCTGAAAAGGCCACATTGGGTAATCATGCAAAGTTTGTTATGAATTTTAAATTTTTAACTTTTTATTTTACACACCGTATTTGACCTAATAAGCACCCAGGGCGCTCTCAAAATTAAAAATAGGGAGCTTTTATTGGAATATTATTTTGGTGAAAAAAAGAGTTTAAAGATAAAATTCGTGGTTTATGCTGACAGCCTGAAATGTTTATGTACGACAGATATATTTTTCCAGAATTAAATGCCCATAATTAAGGGTGCATATAACACATGAATGAGTATTATACGGGAATAAATATGTCTTGTGTACATTGATCAATCGGAAGGGGTGCTAAATGGAATGTTTCACCAGCCAATATCTTAGCAAATGTAGCCGTGGGCCCTTATTAGAGCGGGGCGCTTATTACATCGTATACAGTGTTTTATGTAACTATGCTGCTTATCTGAAGCTTTGGTCTAAATATTTGTGAGATCTGATTCGCAGAACCACACACAGTGGTGGTAAATTTTGAAGACTTGCTTCAATTTGGGCTTTCCTTCAAGCTTTCCATCATGTTTTATAACTGAAATAGTTGGTTCAAAATGGCGTTAAACCTCACTCACTCACTCTCTCTCTCTCTCACCTGTCACTCACTAATTCACTCACTAATTCACTCACTCACTCACTCACTCACTCAGGAAAGTAATCTTTAATAACGGCCCTTTCTTGGAATCTTTTTATATGCCTTTCAGCATTAGAAATTGGCACTAGTCCTGTGGTCCTTGTCGAACTGCCCAATAGTTCAGGTATCAAAAGGACAAGTAGAAATTTGCCATTTTTAAGGGTTTTGCTATATGTTATCATTATAACGACTAGTAGACTATAACTGTTAGTTTCTACCGCTGCCTTTGGTGCTCTATATGTGGGTGGTGGGACAGCCTAGCGGTTAAAGCAGGTTCCATTCCCGAAATGGGTTACCAGTGTGCCAGGCTGGCATATCTGGGGTTCCCTGCCGTGATGATAAGTGCTGGAATATTGCTACTAGTTTGTGTAAAACAATACTCGCTAACTCACTACCTCATTCACTCACTCCCCACTCACAAGCTCACTGCCCACTCACTCACTCACTCACTCCCAAGCTCACAAGCTCACTCACTCACTCCCCACTTACGAGCTCACTCACTCACTCCCCTCTCACTCACTCACTCACTCACTCTCACTCACAAGCTTACTGCCTACTCCCAAGCTTACTCACTCATGAGGGTAATCACGAGATCACTCACTCACGAGCTCACTCACTCACTCCCCTCTCAAACCTGTCAAACTTTGTCAGTCAAGACAGGACGATTTTCAGACAGTAGTGTGTAAACTGTTTCAACATGTTCAATATCCGGTACGATTGGCCGCCGTATTGGTTTGGGTTAAACACACAACACACAAATGACCACAGGTCAATCAACAGTCAAGTCTTGTGGCTACTCAGATCCTGTCCCGTAATGAGTTTGGTAAATATTTTTTTGTGTAGCTTATTCCAAGTTGTTTTTGTCATACTCTCTCATTTTAACCTCTGAGGGGATTTCTTGAGTAAAGTTGGTCCCCAACAATCTATGATTGTCATTAGCAGCAACTAAATGGTCAGGCTAGGCATGTTCTCTTACTCCAACAGCATTGATCATGTCTCACAATATCAGTGACTGGATTGTCTGCTCCAGACTTGATTGTTTTCATTAAACCGCCTTTAGCTAGAATAATACATGTACCATGAAACACCATCTTCCTGAGGCAAGGGGGTTAACTGAATAGTCCAGTTTCCACCCTTGAACTAGGCTGGAATTTCTTGATCGTAGTGTCACCAGTGGCTAATACGAGTTATATCCCTTCTATGTCCCTCCTATTGACCAATCAGTTTGCACCTCTCATATCTCTTGCACTTGCTTCAAACAAAATGGTGGCACCCAGTCAAAACGACCTGATCACTAATCAAAATCTATTTTGTGATAAGACGGGTCTTACTTCTCGAAGTGCCACAAATAACGTGAGCACATTTTGATTGGGTGAACAATTTCAGTCCAAGTGGTAAGAAATTGGAGTTACATCCCCTAGTGGATAGTCTGCTCAGCTAACGTTCCCATGACAGTGTCTTCCTAACAAGGTGAACATGTGTTGCGTTCACTTGCAAATAGAATTATGGAGGTAGACTTTATTTTCTACAAAACTGATTACAGATTTAAGAATGAAATGGACTCAGAAGGTTTTGTGGACAAAACGAAAAACTAGGACACAGTACATAAAACCGACTGAAACGTCTTGATCGATTCAATTTTATGGCACATGCACAAGAGTATATTGTATGTCATACCCCAGATCGGCCCTCAACCCGAACTACAGCCCTCGGGGGCTTACATGGGAGTCCCTGGTTGATATATATGAAAACTGCCATATAATATCCTCTATGTATCGTCACAGTAATTCTCTAAAATAACTAAAGTCTAGTTTACATACACACATTTACCCCAGGGGTTAACTAACCCCCAGGGACAAAATGTATCGAGTGGTAAACGTGTTTAAAGTTTACCCCTTGGGGTAAGATACTGAAACTCCATAGGTGGAGTAAATTTTGTTCCCCCGAAAGGGTATATTTACCCCTGGGCATAAAATACCCACTGGGGCAAAGAAGTGCATGTAAACTAGGCTATAGGCCCCACAATTTGATGTGCAGAGTTTCGTCCTTGTGATCGTGGATTTCAAATCCTGGTTCACCCGATGATGTTTCTAGGTTTGTCTGCACCTCGGATACCTGTGCTCTCATGGTTTCACAAGTGGTAAATGTCTGAAACCTGCATCACTTCGGGATTTCCTTCCACATTAAGCTGACATGCCGTGATACAACCTGAATACTCAGTTCAAAGCTGTGTTAGGGGCGGTCGGGTAGCCTAGTGGTTAAAGCGTTCACTCGTCACGCCGAAGACCCGGGTTTGATTCCCGACATGGGTACAATGTGTGAAGCCCATTTGTGGTGTCCCCCGCCGTGATATTGCTGGAATATTGCTAAAAGAGGCGTAAAACCTCACTCACTCACTCACTGTGTTAAACCCAACTCACTCACTCACTATCTCTGACATGCATAAATTGAGACATTCTTGTTTTGTTACAGGGCATCAATGTGACACCAAGGCTGGGGATTAGTTAAGGCTCCACACAGCTTTCACGATGCCGGTGAGTTTACAGATTTACTGCTTGGTGTATTTGTACATTTGTGATTATAATGATTTGCAAGTAGTGAAGTTGTTATTCTTTTTCAAATATTTTGTGTTCCAACCACACTTCAAACAAAAAATCTCAGATTCTCGTTGTCACTTTAGAATTTCCATTTCAATATTGTGTAGTTGGCATGTGTAGATAAATTGTTCAACTTTTTAGTGCAGTTTAATTTTATGAGTGTGCTTGGCCAACCATTAGAAAGTAAATTCAGGAATATGTCAACTCAAAATTTGTTCCTTGAAAAGAATCAAATGAAAAATATGTTTCGGTCATTTAGATTTACAAATCATTATGGAGTTATATATTTTGTTTCAATCCAGATAGAATTGGTTCGTTATGTATGCCCATGACAGATTCTGATAACGTGATGTCCAAGCTCTATTTAATTAGATGAATGACCGCTCTGACCTATTTATGCAGCCTTGCTGTCGGAGTGTGACATCATGATGCCATGATGCGATTCTTACGGCTCACTGTCAGTAACGCTAACAGGGTCATTGTCGTGTAGGGAAACCAGAATACGGAACTGGCCACTGCATAGCACTGAAAACCAGACAAGTCCATTCATTAGGAAGGGGTGGCCCAGCTGTGTAAGGTGCAACAATTTGCTGTGCAGAGTTACATCCCTTAGGTGTGCCAGGAACATGATTGTGGGTTGGAATCCCGGTTTGCCCTTTGTGCTCGTGGGTTTCCCCAAAGTACACATCTAAGACCTGCATCACTTCAGGCTTTCCTCCCACATTAAGCTGACACACCCTGTCAAAATCCGGGGTAAAATAGTTCTCCAGCAACCCATGCTTGCCGTTAAAGGCGACTATGCTTGTCATAAGAGGTAACTAACGGGATCGGGTGGTCAGGCTTGCTGACTTGATTGTCATTGTATCCCAATTGTGTGGATCAATGCTCATGATGTCAATCACTGGATTGTCTGGTCCAGACTCAATTATTTACAGACATATGTCATACAGCTGGAATATTGCTGAGTGCGGCGTTAAACAACAAACAAACAAACATGACACGCCATGATACAACTGAAATACTGTTTGAAGCAGTGTTAAACTCACTCACCCATTCATTTTGGTGTGAAACTGGTTGATCCACCAACAGGAAGACTTGATCTGATGATCTATTAACTGGGATTTTCAAACTCACATTTCTTGCTCGATTTATTTTGACACCTCAGTCACCATTTTCTGACAACAATATATTCCCAAATTGAAAATGGTTTAGGGCAGTTTTGAATGCAATGCATACAGTGGCCATCAAGGAAACATCTGTATATCTGTAATTTTGAAGACTCACCCTACACGACAATTACCCCTCCAGCCTCAGTTACCGGTTTGCCTGCTCCGAACTCGAGTTCTAATCTAACGCAAACTGCTGTGATTGGATAGTTCAGCTGAAAAACTGCTGACTACGGCCTAAAATAATTTGCATACTTTTCTTTTCTTCACCAATTCTCTCTAGTTTCCTTTGTTTCAAGTACTACTGTCCACACAACTACTTCTGTATATGAAAATACCAACACATTTTCACGATCCTGCTTACACTTTGTTCTGTTGTTCTTTTTCAGCTGTCAGACTAGGCAGTATATAGTAGTCCCAACGAAACAAACTCTTAATTACCTCCCTTGTTAGCGATCGGACAAATATGGAGGTATATAAGTTGTACCAGCATGGTGTTTGCCTCTGTCTCTGGTTCTGTGACACCAACATGACTTGTTTGATTTGAGCTTACTGTTTCAGCTCGTTTCAAGTTTTGGCTTTTTGAATATTTGAGTGCTATTAAGTTTGACTAGTTAGGTGATTTGTTGTGTAAATTTGCGTGTGATTTTTTTTTTATATGTATATATATATACCTCAAACATGTTGAAGTAAATGTTGTTGTTTTTTAATTTAATTTGTGGTTAGTATTGGTAAGCATGATTAGAGAAATACGAAATCTTTAAATGTTAAATCCAGTTTTTTAAATGATAGATTTGATGCTTCAGTTCTTAATTATTTCAAAATCGGTCGAAAATGTGATTATTATTCAGTCCTTATTATTACCATGATTATGTTTAGGAATGTCACGATTCACCGATTTAACTGATGCATTGGTAGATAATTCTCACGATACGATATGATACGAGATACATGTAAATTTATATCGATACAAACTTTTATTGAAATCGGTATCCATTTGTTTGCGTATCGATTGATTTTTCTTTTCAAATTGAAATTTGACACACGAAAACTTGTTAGCGTCTGACACTTGTTTGAATAAACAGAATCAACTTTTTCTAAGTATTATTATTTTACAAAATAATCTATTGATGGTGATTAGAACACAGAATTGTGAATGTGATATGTAATTAAAAAGTTTGCTTCTAAATTTACGCATACAAGGTCGGTATTGCTGTATCGAGATACGTATCGTATCTTGACCTCAGAATTGAAATACGTATTGTATCGTGAGGTACCTCTATCGTGACACCCCTATCGTAATCTTGCTGTATCCTTTGGAACGTGTTGGAGAAGTTTTTACAGTAGATATGAAGCTTAGTCCGATTGTGGTCATATTATTTGTGGCTTTTTGACAGTAGATCTAGCCTAACATTAAGACTCAATGTCTGACAGTTTATTGTTACGCCAAGATTCATTCATCATCATTCCTTCATGGATTTGTATACACCGAGTTAGTCCATCACTTGTGAATGCGTATGTCTGCTTTGTGGTATGACGAGTAAGTCCTTGACAAAAGGCTGTTGACCCGTGAGGATGCAGGGTAGAATAGGTCTTCAGCAACCCATGCTTGCCCTAAAAGGCGACTATGCTTGTCGTAAGAGGTAACTAACGGGATCAGGTGGTCAGGCTTGCTGACTTGATTGTCATTGTATCCTAATGGCGTGGATCGATGCTCATGAAGTCAATCACTGGATTGTCTGGTCCTGACTCGATTATTTACAGACCACCGTCATATAGCTGGAATATTGCTGAGTGCGGCGTAAAACAACAAACCAACCAACCAACATAAGGCTTTTGTACTCACTGAAGCATCGGTTGATCGCTGTTGTTTACTTCTTGATACAAGTATCAATCACAATCGCACACTAAAGTTATCGATTCTTACCTTAAATGTATTCATAAATGTTTCACCAAACACTAATGAAAATGAGTTGTAAAAACGTAAATATTTTCATCCATTGTGCCACCCTTGACTCTGCCAACTGTAAATTGCTAGTGTGCCAGATATTTGGCCATCCTGTCTATGAAAAAGATGGTTTTACTCACCATGCTCACTAGGGCTTGGTCGATACACCAAGTGCTCACGATCCAATATGTATCACGATACTTGCATGTGCTCTTATCTGTGGTTCGTAAGCCATCTTTTTCATAGACAGGATGGCCAAATACCTGGCACACTGACGATTTACAATTGGCGGTGTCAAGTATGGCACAATGGGTGAAAATATTTACTTTTTCACTGCTTATTTTCGCTAGTAATTAGTGTTTGGTGTAACATTTATTGAAGAATACAGTAAACAGGGGGCTCTTATTAGAATATTTTTTTGGTGAAAAACAACAGAGTTGAAAGATTGTAAATTTCGTGGTTTATGCTGGTAGCCTGAAATGTTTATATACGACAGATATATTTTTCCAGAATTCAATTTCCCATAATTAAGGATGCATATAACACACATATTATACACAAATAAGTAAGTCTTGTGTACATTCATCAATAGGAAGGGGTGCTAATTGGGATCGTTCACTAGCCAATGTAATAGCAATTAACGTCTTGAGTGCTTATTAGAGTGGGGCGCTTATTATGTCGAATATGGTATTCACAAGTGATGGAGGAACATCGAGTATAAAATAATGTGAAGTATTAAAAATGAATGATATAAATTCAGCTGTTAACATATTTAGAGTGCATGACTCAAATCCACAAAGATTTTATCCATTTCTAGTCACAGTTTTATGTGTTATAATGTTGATTATTTTTTTATTTTTTTTATTTATTTTTTTATGGAAATTAATCAATCAAATCAAACAAGTCAAAATCTTACCCACTGGAGTTACTGGTGTATTAAAGTTAACAAATGCTTGTTGCCATGGTTACTTGTGATTCCGAATGTTTTCATTGTCAGTTCAACTTAACATCTTGTTAACTGCAGTTGCCATGTTTTCGTTTTCCTCTGTTGCATGGTAATCAGGCTGTCAGTTTTGCTTTTAAAACATTTTCCGTTGCCATGGTTACCATAACAAACGCTGCATGTTCACTGTTCAATGAACTGGAGTTTCAAATGTAATCCTCACTGTTTTCTCCATGGAGTATATATCTATCAGCTTCTGGCTGTGTGTATGAAGCCTTGGTCGTGCATGTTTGTCAACTAATGACTTCTGAAACTATGTTCCAATGTGCACAGCAGTATTACATCAGAGACGGTATTTGTGAAAAAACGATGTGCTTATAAAACCATAACGCAAGCAAGCCTGCTTAGCTAATGAGTTTGAATCATACTTTGTCACCTGGTAGATAGTCTTCATCATTTAAGTTAGAAATATGTGCTTGTGACCTTAAAATAAGCACTTTGACCTTGCATTAACACCTGTAATCTCGAAATAAGCACTTGTTCACAATATTGGGTGTACTTCTCTTATTTAAGTTAAGTAATGTTAAACACTGGTGACAAAGTGCTGACCCGTGAAGATTCCGGGGTAGAATAGGTCTTCAGCAACCCTTGCTTGCCGTAAGAGGCGACTATGCTTGTCGTAAAAGGTGACTAACGGGATCATGTGGGCAGGCTTGCTGACTTGGTTGATGCATGTCATCGATCCCAATAGCGTGGATCGATGCTCATGATATTAATCACTGGATTGTCTGGTCCAGACTCGATTATTTTCAGCTGTTATACAGCCGGAATATTGCTGAGTGTGGCATTAAACAACAAATCAACCAACCAACCAACTTAAACACTTGGGACAAATTGCTACTTTGAGGGTTTCCTATAGTGAAGGCATGGGGGTTCAGTCGGGGGTTCTCCAGGGAGATTTGGCTATGTAGAATTGTGTCACTTAGGCATGCCAGAACCCTGTGTTTGTGGATTTAAGTTCCACATTTTCTGGGTTCACAGAGAATGGCATCACTTCAGGCTTTCCTCTCCCTCAAGACCCGTGAAGATCAGGGGTAGAATAGGTCTTCAGCAACCCAAGCTTGCCGTAAGAGGCAACTATGCTTGTCGTAAGAGGTAACTAACAGGATCGGGTGGTCAGGCTCGCTGACTTGGTTGATGCATGTCATCGTATCCAAATTGCTTGGATCGATGCTCATGATGTCAATCACTGGATTGTCTGGTCTTGACTTTATTATTTACAGACCGCCGTCATATAGCTGGAATATTGCTGAGTGCGGTGTTTAACAACAAACAAACAAACAAAAACCTCTCGCTCAAGTTGGTCACACTCCCCAGATACAACACTGATCTACTGTTCAAAGTGGAACCCCATTTCACTCACTCACTCACTCATAAGTTGTGTGTGGCCCCCATTTATTGTCATGCTTCAACTCTGCACAACGAAATATGACCGTATGTAACATGAATGGATATATGGTGAAATGGGATATATCGATGATACATGTGGATTTTCAAGTTATTTATCTCATCCAGAATGATATTTTTTGTGAATGTGAATGACAAAGAAAATCCTTGAAAAACTGTTACCGTATTCTACGTAATAAGCACCAAGGGCGCTCTCAAAATTAGAAATAGGGGGCTCTTATTACAATATTATTTTGGTGGAAAAAACAGAGTTGAAAGATAAATTTCGTGGTTTATGCTGACGGCCTGACTGTTTATATATGACAGATATATTTTTCCAGAATTTAATTGCCAATAATTAAGGGTGCATATAACACACAAGTGCGTATTATACATGAATAAATAAGTCTTGCGTACATTGATCAATCGGAAGGGGTGCTAATTGGGATTGTTCACTTGCCAATATATTAGCAAATATCGCCGTGGGCGCTTATTAGAGTGGGGCGCTTATTACGTCCAATACGGTATTCCTAGTGTTTGGCTTTTAACACAATTTTCCTTCATAACTTGACCATGGACTGTGTAAGACTTCAATCGGTTGCCGTTTATGTTGTAGATAACACTGATGTAGTTTCATAAATCGTCAAGCTGTTGTGTATAAATATTGTGAATGACTGCATGAATCATGGACTAACATGGCTGATGCAGATTTGTGTCAAATTGTAATTGGATAAAATATTACATTGTTTGTAAGGAGACTTGATTGGAAGTTTAATTAGAATTTTGTGTGACTATTCATATTTGAAGGTGACCTTGACCTTGACCTTATGCTACATTTCATCTCAGTCTTATTAATGCATGGAACTAACTGAAAATCAACCTTACTGTACGATCACTGAAAAAGACCCGTGAAGATCCGGGGTAATATAGGTCTTCTGCAACCCATGCTTGCCCTAAAAGGTGACTGCTTGTCGTAAGAGGCGACTAACAGGATCGGGTGGTCAGGCTCACTGACTTGGTTGATACATATCATCGATCCCAATTACGTGGATCGATGCTCACTGGATTGTCTGGTCCAGACTCGATTTTCTTACAGACTGCCGTCATATAGCCAGAATATTGTTGAGTGCGGCGT